CCAGGGTCCTACACTTGAGCAGACATCCAACATTAATCCACCGTCTACGAGCAGTATCTCTCTCGAAACCTAGCATTAACATCTCCCATCACCCACTTCATCGAAGTGGACACCACCGATAAAACGGCTTGCACAACGACAACCCGAACTCCGACTCCATGTCGTATTCGAAATACTTCGCACAGCAACACGAGCACCGACGCAGAATCTGCCAATTCAGCTAGGTGTCTTGATGTGCCCAAGATGACCGACGCCAAGCCTTCACATGAAGGCGGTCGCCCACCGACGTCGTCGAATGGACACCCGCTACCACGCCGAAGTTCGCCTGAGCATTCAATCACACTGCGCAACCACCGATTAGCACACGAAGCAACTGAGAAAGCCGCATTAAGACGAGCCTTGGCCGCTGCCAGCCCTGGATCGTCGTCATCGCCTAATCGACAGTCTTCCGGCGAGAGTCACAACACCGGTCCTAGCGACCCCGAGAAATGGTTCGATCAAAACAATGAGAATCCCGCGACAACGTACGCTGGCGCAATGGACGGTAAGAATTCCTGAGCTACCGTAGTGGGAGAAGGTCTAATTCCTGTCTCAGTTGATCCTCCATTCTTCCAGAAAGAAAGCGACTCCTCTAATGACGACGCGAAACCCTCGGCCTATCCGACGCATCTGAGACCACCGATGGACGGAATAATGAACAGGGCAAATAAGCCAAGCGCCACGCACAGCAGCAGCGCCGACGACTATCGAAGCGTAATTGACGACTTGACGGTTGAGATTAAGAGGCTGAGGGACGAGCTGAAGCGATACAAGCAGAAAGGACCGGAACTGATGAAGAGGGATAAGCTGTTCGAGATCAAGGTCCACGGGCTTCCCAAGCGGAAGAAGAGAGAATTGGAGAGTACTCTGCGCGAATTCGCGTCCGGTCTGGAGAGCAGCACCCCAAGCGCCGAAGCTTCGTCGTCTCGGCAGAAATCGAGGCACAACGTTCATTTACACTCAGGTTTTGGTTATGCGTCGAAGCATGCATCGTCTTCTTCAGGCTCTCACTCGAGGCCGGTTGACAGTGCCTATGCCTCGATGTCAACTGGAGCAAACTCGTCCGGCACACATCTCGCCCGGCCATCCACCAGCTCTAGAACGAAGTCATCGGAACAAAAGGTGGAGAACTACCTGAAGGACATCCCGGAGGGACTGTACCCGCGACACATGGTTTTGACGGAAAAGGACAGAAAGAAGTTGATTGTCCGTCGCCTGGAACAGATCTTCACGGGTCGAATTAGCGGACGTAATCTCGCTCGACCTCAGCCCAAGTCCGCAGCAAATATCGCCTCATACGCCCCGATCATGGTGGAGCCAACAACCGGCAACACCACGACTCACCACGGGCCCTCAAATGTACCCGCCGGTTACTTCGAGCCATCCCGCGAGGCCCCCATACTTGCGTCAGATGGGAAGAAGAATATCCCCAAAGATGTCGAGTCATCAAATTCCAACGGCGATCAACGGGATTCCAGTGGCAACTGGACAACCGCGGCAGATGTAAGCAGCACTTCACCGCAGGATCCTCCGCCGCCAGAGCAACGTCCCACCAGACCGCTCGACCTTGATCCGGATCGCATGCAAAACCCGTCCGCCAACATGGACTACATTCGTCATTTGGGCCTCGCCCCTCCCCATCTGACGGCGTTGATGACCGATGGCGATGTGTCCCCGGATGCCGATGGCTGGGTCTATCTGAACTTGCTTTGCAGTATGGCTCAATTGCACATGCTTAACGTTGCCCCCGATTACATCAGGAGCGCAGTGTCTGAGAAGAGCACGAAGTTCCAACTTTCGCACGACGGTCGCAAAATCAGATGGCGCGGTGGTACGGAGGGAACCAAGTTTAGTAGCGACAGTTCAGGTAATACCTCCCAGCTCAGCCGGTCTGACGAGTCCGACGAAACACAACCAGACAACCAGGGCAAGAAGCGCAAACAACGCTCGGGGAAAACCGGTTATTGTTCTACACCATACGGGAAGAACTCATCCGACCAATCGAAACCAGAGTATCCAATTCCATCGGCGGACATTTTCCACTACAAGCCACTATTCGTGCACCAATCGTCATCTGCCGAACAAACTTCCCTAGATGATGTTGGCTCGTCGTATGGAGCCGTAGAAGACAGCAATAACGGAGAGTCACGATGGGATGGCTCGGGATCCTCGCGCCGCAAGAGGCGTCGATTGGATGGTGCTATCATTTACTACAGTGGTGCTCCATTCTGCACCGATCTCTCTGGCGATCCTGGTGATGCGTCCCCGGCGTCATACATGACCTCATCTGGCCAGGACCAACAATTGTCCTCTAGTGCTGGATTCCTCAGGCCTGATCTTCCTCGTCGCACTGAATCAGGTTCGGCGCTTCCGTACCGACCGCTACTCGAAGGCCGCAAGGCTCGGAGCGTCGCTGTCACAACGGAAAATGGCTCAGACGACAGTGACAGTGGCTTTGAGGCCGATTTCCCTTGGTCCAACAACCATCAAGACGCCGTGGGTAGCAAGTTGGACGCTTGCGGGCTGGGTGGTGTTATTCCAGATGACCACTTTGTTGTGGTCGCCACCACGAAGAGGCCGAAGGTGGATGTGAAGCAGGAAACGACGATGAACTTACAATCCGAGGATTTTTCCAAGCTGATTAGTAGAATCACATCGCCGTTGGGGTCTTCTGGGTCCCAGGCCAAATCAGCAAAGTTCGAATCTCGCAAGACAACACCGATCAACATTGAATACACGTCAAGGTCTGTCCGGAAGCTTAACCCTACGCCTCTGCCACCACCGGGTTTGTACTTCGCTTTCGACAGCGATAGCTCTGACACTTCTGACGATGACGATGACGAGTCCGATCTGGACAATAATTCAAAGGTAGGGGGCGGCGTACAAGCTCACGCCCCTACTTTTGATAGACAGTGTCCTGACGATGCACAGGTGTCAAGTGGCGAAGAGGGTGACAGCGAGCCGGACAACGGAGATGAGGTGGCGGGTGTTGCGGAGGATGAAGAGAGTGGCGCCGAGTTCAAGATTCCCCTTCCCCCTCGGGATCTCCGTCGCGCCAGCAGCAGCAGTGCGGTTGCGGCCGTCGGAACTGCCAGAGGTCGTAGTAATAGCGCTGAACTCCCTGTCGCCGCTGGCAGTTCAGCCGCCACGGCAGGCGGAGCCGAGAGCGGCTACAGCAGTGGCCGTGAGGAGAGCGGATCAAGTTGAAGGAAATCGTTTGTGAATGCTTTGAGCAGGAAGGGGTGTTGAGAAGTCAAAGGGGTACTACTGTGAGAGGTGCATTGCGTGGCGCTTGGTTCATTGGGATAGATTGGATCAAGATATCCCATCATGTTGGAAACGATCATTGTGTTTTACCCACGTCGAGGGTTTGGAAGACAGCGACTACAGCCAGTAGCGGGCAACGTGAGGCGTTTTCTCTTCAGCGATTTAATTAGGATCAACCCAAATGATACCCGAATTTATTAAGTTCCAAGCCTCGCTTCCTTGGTTTTTCGAGTATTGTGACCAGCTTAAGCTTGGTGTAAATCAAGCTTGTATCCGGTCCGCGAGTGACACAGCTGAGGTCATATTCGGGACGCTCATAAAGAAGTAGTCTGACGAAGTGAGGCTAATTAATACAGTTCAACATTGTGAGGTACTTTTACTTGCACATTCGTCCTTTTCCCATTGAGATGCGGACCACCTCCCCTCCCCCCCCCCCTCCATCAGCGGACGCCCTTTCCCCGGACAATGCGGGCTACCTTTCAATGCGCTAAAGGGAGTTCTAGTCTCTCCCGGTAAGATGCTGGAGCATAAGTACTCCATGACTCCCTAGGACTTGGGAAATAAGGAATCTCTCTTGATGGTCGGCTCGGCGTGTTTGCCAGTGGCAAAAACCAAAAAAAAAACAGTGCAATTCTATAAGGTGAGATGGATGATCTGCTGAGTGTCGATCCAGTCGATTCATCATGCGGTGTAACCCAACACAGCCCACAGTCTTTTCACGTACTTACGCAGTGTCGGTTTCGTGGAGCGCGAACCGCGGCCTAGTAGAGGAAGGGGACCCGGGACCCAGAACTTGACAGGCAGCGAGCGTGTATATCACCTTTCGCTCGGTGCGTTGGTTTCTTGAGGGGCGGAAGGGCTGCGGTTTTTGGAAGGAATCTAGCACTCCGCCTCGCTGGATGACTCTTCCTTTCAGCTTCCCCGGAACGCCCCCCCCCCTCCCCCGGAGAGAAGGGAGGCGTCTTGCTACACACCTGCAACGCTATATTTCTGACTTCTTTCTTCTCCAAGCCTGTGTGTGCCAACTTTTTTTTTTTTTTTTTTTTTTCATCTTGATAGCGATAACTAGAATTACAGTAAACCAGAAAAAGCCACATTCACAATCATGACACAAGGAAACCAACAACAAGTCGCTCAGAACGTCACCAGTCGGTATCTAAAGAAGGCCAGCCTCCAGCAGCTCCTGGAGAAGATTTTCCCGGGGCACACTGATTTTGAGATTGAAGTATGCGTTGCCCTTTGCTGCGTGGTACACACCGATTGAAATTGAAATTGACAGATGCTGTTTTTTTTTACAGATGAGAGACGATGTTTGGCATTTCAAGGCGCCGAAGGAAGTTGACGCAGTATGTCTTATGTTCCAGGCCCGATTGGACACACCTGTATGTTGTTGCTCGATGCTAATGATGTGAAATTACAGGACACCATAGAGTAAACCAAAACTTGAGAGGACCAAAGCTCGCTTCGAAGAAGGCATGCTGACGGGGGTTAACAGTGCGGTGCGAGATCAATGACTTTAACCGATGGGGAGTAGGGAGGAGTCGGGTGGCCCGAGGAATGGATGGGCAGTGCAAAGTATGGTGACATACCAGCAAGCGTCAGTATTGGTTAGGAGGAACAGGCAGGCAGGCGGCTGATCGCCCTTGGGGTAGATGGCCCTCATAGCCTTACAACGAAATCGAACCAAGTACATAACAAACCAAGTGACAGCAATAGACCGCCAACATCCTTTCCTTCCTGTTTACCTCAGCCTTATCCGTTCTATTGACGTCGCTCTACAACCTCAATGGCGCCGACGCAACAACAGTGCTTCGTCGAAGATGTCATCGAGCCCATCAGAATCTGCAGCGTAACGCGCTCTCCAGCAGAGGATGACGATGATGGTGGGAACGAGGGGGCTACCAAATTCAAGCAGCAGCAGCAGCAGCATGCCATCACCACCCTTGACGAGTTGAGCAATTACCTAGAAGAAATACAGAGCCAGAGCGTAGAGCACGTCCACCATTTCATGTACGTTCATTCAAACTATTCCTGGTCATTGTCGCGGGTCCCCGCTCAACCATCCTAACCTTACTGACGTTAATCAAAAGCTCAATCTGCCAGCGCAACTCATGGAGGCCTCTACAAATCACAGTCCCCATGTTCGAGCTCATCATGGAAAATTTCCACTTAAATAACTCGTTACGGGATATCGTCTCGTGCTTTTATACCCGGAACATGAATGTGGAAGAGGTGTTTTGTATGCCGTATACCGAGCGACGAAAGGGATCTGTGGTCGGTGTGTAACAGGCTTTGAGTTCCAATGGAATTTATACTTGCTATTTAGACATGAAGGAAACTGATGATGTAGCAGCAGCATCGTACACGATTCGATACCCCGAATACAAACCCGATGAGGATACGTGGGTAATTCGTCAGACGGGTGTATACCACCGCTGCGACGCGGCGTCTCATCAAAGTCTCTTCATCATGATCAACCCAACGCCGAATTCGCAAGCCAGCAGCCGAGCCTTGGAATGGCTTTTCAACAGAAGCAGTAGCAGCAGTGTCGCAGCAGGTTCTGAGACCGAAACCGACGATCCTGTCTGGCTGCATAAACTCATCTTCGAGACATATCTGCCCGCGTGGAGGTTCTACATTGCATCAATGGAGCGGCAGTTTCTACCGTTGGTGAGAGAAGCATTCTCATGAAATGGCACCTTCAAGCCAGCTCCACTGGTCTAATCCTCGATGCTACAAATAGTCGTACAAAACACTCATCAACTTCATCGACAAACCTTCCACGATGAAACCAAGTCACTTGACGAAACTAGCCAGCCTCGCGAACCGGTTCCAGACAATCTCATCGATCCTAGAATCGTCCGAGGAGACGGTAGCGGAGCTGTCTGCCCTATGCACCAACCGCTTGCCAAAGGGTTCGATGAAGAACGCATACGACAACGACAACGACGACCACGTACTACAAGAATCAGCATCAGAGTTCGAAAACTTTCGCCGTCAGTGTAGAGCCTTCTCGCGGACAGCGACGGACCTGCACCACCGCGCGCAAACAACGTCGCAACTGCTGGCCAACACGCTCTCCTTTCGCGAGCAGCTCGATTCCAGGAAGCAGAATGAGAATATGCTAAGGTTGAATAAGTCGGTGGTGTTTATTACTACGCTGACGTTGCTCTATTTGCCGCCTTCGTTTATCGCTGTGAGTGCTTGCCCATCTGCCCCCACCCTTTCCTCCTCCTCTGCGCCCTCGGAAGACCATGGTGGCTTGCTAAACCTATTTGCGACAGACGTTCTTTGGGATGAACTTTTTCAATATGGACTCTGTGACTGGCAAGATTGTCGGCAGTCCGATGATTTGGATATACGCGCTCTGCTCTGTACTACTCACAACGGCGACGTTTGCGACGTATTACATGATGCGTGAGGGAAGCTACCTGAACATCAAGGCATCAGATATGAGAGGCCTGAACTGGCGCAAGTTGTTACATCGCAATCAACGCGACAAAAAGGACATCGAGCTGGATAGCCTGAAAGTTTGATCAGGCGGATGAGGATGCAGGGTGTCTGCTAGGGAGATTGATCTTGAAGACGGCGTGCCGGTGGGACCCCACGAGGGCAGTGACGAGGATGTGTCTGCTGCCGTCATCGCCGACTATGGTGCCGGTGAACTCGTCGTTCTCAGATAGACTGGGTAGCTGAGCCAATTCGCGAACAGTCATCGGATCTCTCGTCTCGGGTATTGTGATCTCAAGCAGACGAATCCGACCACCATCTGGTTTGATTCCTAATGCGAAGATGGTATCGTCGTTCTGGTCGGCCATGACTCTGAGGAGGCGGTACTCTTCGATGTTTTTGGGGTATCGGGATCGCCTCTTTGGTGAGTTACATGAGTTCGCGAGCAGATCAACGGTGAAGAGGCGGGTTTCCTGGAACACGGCTATGCAAGCTGCTCGTTGGTGTAGGCCAGCAAATGTCGTGAATAGACTTGAGCCGTTGCTCTCTTGGCTCTTGCGAGATACAATTGGGTTAGTAATATGGCTTCTTTGTTGATATAGATACAAATAACTGTGGGACTCACTCGCGGCTCGATGAATACTTCCTCTATATCTCGAGTTGTCAAAGAATATGCTACGATAGGCATGTGGTATATGCCGTCTTCCCTAAGGTACGGGCGGATCGCTGCGTAGCATCGGTTCTGTTCGGTGAGTGATAAAGATATCACGTCTTCGGCAGGCCAGTCGAGTGCGATGAAGCGGCCCAACAAGTTACTGCCGCTCTGATCTACCCCATGTCCCTCTGAGATAGACCCCATTCTGCTCTCTCGGTCAGCCAAATGGTCACGAATACTGGCAAGATAGACGCAAGTAGGTGAGCGTATGAGACTCACTCTATGAGATCCTCGATTCGTACATGGAATACGGACCCAGAAAGGCTCTCGTCTTCCTGGTTCTCGACTACAAAGACCAGATTCTGTTGATCGGTCGACATCGCCATGATGTATACTTCCGGGACTGTTGGCAGCCGAATATGCCAATAGTTCTGTGCACTGGAGTCGACTGCAGCACCTTGTCCTAGATCAAATATGTAACACTGCCAAAGCGAAAGTCAGAAGCACGTATAGTATCGCTAGGATGAACCTACGTTGAAGATGTTGCCCGTGGTTGTGGCAACCAGATGTCTGTTAGTCAGGCAAACAGCTTTCCAGAATCGGCTTGTCGATCCCATGGACTCCAGAGAGTGCTCCCTGAGTATGTTCAGGACATCTCCATCTGCATTCGGAGCAGAGCTTGGGGTGAAGAGTGAAATCTTATTGTCGCTCCAGTACGCGATGATGCTTCCATCTGGGGATACCTTGCATCCCTTGAAGACATCAGAATTGTCTCGCGGTACGCGCCATCGTTGCACTATCTGCTCCATGGAGGATTTGGGCCTGGGAAAGATTAACACTCTGTTTCGAGTGACTTCAATGATGTTCATAGCTTGACGTACTGTCTCAAAGATTCTGAGGAAGATTCGAGCCGATCAATCTCCTCATACGCGTCGAGCGTGCGTCGAAGCATGTTTTCGACCTCTTTTGCGCTGCATCTCTTGTTCTGATTAATCTTCAAAACTTTGGACCCGAGAAAATTGAGCATGGTCCGGACTGCCTGGTGTTCTTTCACGCTCCTCGCGGCAGCTTTGTGAATTAGTTGCTTGTGAGCATTCTTTACAGCCGAGTGCACAGAAGTGTGTCCAAATAATTTGACGTGGAAGAAGACATCGTAGCTTGCATCGATCCCTCTGCGGTTTTTAAGACGGTTCGTCTCGTAATTGTCAATAGCGCGCTTCCCGCCCTCAAGATAAACGAAGAGGACGCTCAGAATGCAGCCCAGTGACCACACGTCGCTCCTCGTATTCATGACTTTACCCTCACGGAAGGACTCTGGTGGGAGATACGTCCCCTGACCGCGTCGATTCTGTGTTCCCGACATCGTCCTCTGCTGCATATCGCGTCGCTTGGTGAACCACTTGGCGATATCCTTTTCTTCCTCGCGGCTAGTATGGTGCCGAATCTTGACCCTCGACATGCCAAAGTCACTCAGCTTCCAGATATAGCGAGGGCCAGCCCCGTCGCCATTGCCGCTTTCTCGGAAAATGAGGACGTTACTCGGCTTCAGATCCATGTGGTAGCAGACGATTCTGTCGAGTCCAGGCGTCTGCATTTCTTGGTGAAGAAACTTGAGGCCGTTGGCGAGACCAATTGCGGACCGGATGAAACCCGCCCTGTTGATTGCCGTCTTTGGAGCGTTCGAGCCGTCTTTCTTCATGTATGCTCCCAGATCGCAGACCGCTAGCGGCATGAAAAGACTGTACGGCGCTGGGCTGGCGCCCGTTGGGTACTCGATATTCAACGTTCCCAGATTCTCCATAATGTTCTCGCAAGTCTTTGACAAGCTGAGAATCATCTTCATGATCTCGCCTTCCTCCCTGCTCTCAACATCGGAATCAGAGGACGACCTGACAATGTAGTCTTTCCGTGCCACCCATCGTTCCCTGTTGTCATTTCTACGACGGTCTTCGAAATGACCCTTGGCAATCTTCACTTTGTACACTCTTCCAAACGAGCCCGAGCCCAGGAGCTCCTCTTCCACATACGGTAGACGCTGGGTATCACCGTCTTGTATCGTAGTCTCTTCTCGTTGCCGAAGCACCACTGTACAGAATAAGGCTTGCGATCCATAGAACTTGTCCGCCGTCGCCTCGTCCCCGTCAAAGAACTCTGTCAAGCTTTGACGGTCGGCTGGTAGCGAACACACGCGCCTAGAAATCTCACCATCCTCAGGCGGCGGCCACTTGGGAGCAGCAGCTAGCTTCTCTGTGAAGTTCCTGGCTGCCTCGATACGACAGCCGGCGAATACCAAGATTGCGAGGAATTTGTGTAATTCTCTTCCCTGGACATTTTCAACAAATTCATCCTCCGTAATGGAGAATCGGCGGCCCTTGGGTGCCTCTCCGCCGATCAGGCTGCGAAAAAAGAATCGGAGATAGTGCGGGCTCAATACACTTTTCGGTGTCTCACGGGTGGCGAAACGTAGACTCTCGCTGTTTTTCCGCTTCAGATGCCCCAAGAACAGATTGTGAACCTCGTGGCACAAGTCAAGGTACTCATGAGAAGACATGGTTCGTACCACAAGCGTCTTATCGTCATTGAAGCGGCGTTTGCATGTTCGCGGATCTCCCCTCCCGGAAATGTTAATGAATGAGGAATTTGGTGAGTAGAATCGGTCAGGGAACGAGGAAAGTCAGGAATGATCCTCAAGTGAACTACCGTGTTGGATCGAGGAGGGTGACATTTCAAGTGGCGCGGCAAGAACACACATCATCTGCGGCCAGTTCATCAGGCGGCGGCATGCAGAATAAGGCAACTGCTGACTGCGCCCAGGTTGGCGCTGACCGCGTGCCGCACCCCAGCATCGCTGCCGAAACGGTGCTTGCTTATAGCTCAAACATTCCGCTGTTCCGGACGAAAGTAAGGTGCAGCGCTGAAAGCTAGCTGGGGTCATTGAGGCTGAACATTTGGAACCGAGACAAATAATAGCCTGCCATCTGAAGTTCAATGTTCTCTGCGAATATACTCATGAGATGAAATATTGTCAAATGTGGGAATCCTGAGACCAAGCCTTATGTAAATGTGGCATTTCACCAGGTGTCTTATTTCATACTTCACCGTACGTACCTCTACTGAGCACGGTCATCGATGAACCCTTCAGTACCGTCTAATTCCCTTCTTTTCCTCTTGCGCCTTCTCCTGCGCCTGCGCATTAATCTCAATCGCCTCCTTCAGCTTCGCAATCACCTCAGGCTGGTTGCTGAAAGCTCTCAACAGCACTTCATCAAGCTCCTTCTCGACCTTGCCAATGGGCTTGACACCAGGCTTCCTAGCCCTCGCATCGTTCGTAAGCACGCCCCAGCGCTGCGTGAAGGCGACAATGGACTGCCTCAGCAGCTCGTCCAGCTGCTCGCTCATATCCTCAACCGTCAGTGTCTTGGCCGTGACAGTCGCCGCGCCCGCCGCCGCTCCTCGGGACCATAGGGAGCCGCCAATGATGTTGCTGACGAAGCCCACCCAGTTCTGGGGGCTTAGGTTGTCCCAGATGTGACCAAAATGTTGCATGGCGGCCGTGTCGCCTCGGATGTCTCCAATTTCGAGAGAGACGAGCTCATTCTTGATGATGAGGAGGTTCTTGACCATGAACAGATCGGCGTCCGTGCCTGCCTTGATGGACTTGATCCGCGCCTCGGCGCGTTGCAAGATCTGGATGGTTTCCCGGACGATCTTGAAGATGACCTGGCTGTTCTTTTGCTGTGGGATGGTTAGTTCTACTCCGAATAGCCGATTTTCGAGAGTTGTCAACTTACACTTCGTTCCTTGGGCATGGCCTGGTCATATTTGGCCAAAAGCTTGAGTGCTTGTTTCACTGGGGGAAAGGCATTCGAGGAAGAAACGCCGCCGACCACTGGGCCGATAGTAAGAGCCTCATCTTTGACTGTGGCCTTGGCTATCGTCTTCGTAATCTCTGTCTCGAACGCATTGTCTGTGAAGACCCAGAGATGCTCGGTCAATAACCTGGCACTGAGTTCACGACATTGACGCGCAAACGGAGATTCCTCCTCATAGTAGTCCAGAACCAGATACTCGTTGGTCAGCCAGCCGACCACACTACAGATCGTATCGAGATCCGCAGTCTGTAGCGCAGCATTCAGATTGGCGGCCAACTGGACGAGATTTGCGGGGTTGACGAGCGATCTATGGTTAGACTTGAGGACCCCGTATGCTGACTCCGGATCAGAGCTCCACTGCAAATCCAGCCCGAAAATTTTGGCGAACAGATTGGCCTCGTTGAACGCGCGTTCGAAGCTCTGCTTGATATAATTTCTCGAGGCTGTCTCGACCGAAAGATCCTTGATCTCCTTTTTGAACTCGTCTTGGTCGTGCTGCACAATGGGCTTCAAATCGCGGTCTCGGACGGCCAAGTAAGAGCTGAAAAGATTGCTCGTGGTATTCGAGTAGATGTCCTTGGCAACACCAGTGATCGGAAGTCCGTATTCGTCGTATACGTTGTTGATCACTTTGTGGATATTAGGGATTAGGGAGTAAGAATCGAGAATCATCTCCTCGAAACGCCCATATGCTAAAGCATGGCGGGTGGCCTCGGACTTTGTTCCAGCAATTTGGCTCGCAATCTCGGAGGAGATGCTCTCCAGTCTATTGGTGAAGCCGACCTCGAGAAGATGGAGTGCCTTGGTCAGCAAAGCCTCATACCGCGCAAGGTAGGACTCAGCATCACGGTACGTCGTCTAGATTTATTTGTCAGCCTCAATTCATCGATGTCCATCGTCACAGAAATACTCACGTGTTTCGACATGAACCCTATACAAGAATCCAAGTTCCTCAAGATCTCGCCGAAAGAATCATCATCAACCAGACGTCCAGCGCCAGGAGCATTGAGTCTCCTGGAGACATTATCGAGGTATGCGTAGAAGTGGAGATCAGTGCCGACTTCATCTGCAAGTTTCTCGAGTCTGTGCTGTTCCGACAAAAGGTCCTCGCACTGCGACTGGAACGAACTCGTCTGCGCCTCGACGGATTGAAACGATTCGGACAGTGTTGTCAACAGCTTGAGCGCTTGGTTCGTGTCGTCGACGAGCATTTCGAGGTGCCGTTCAGTGAGCGTCAGTTGGTCCTTGTACAGCCTGTTCTAGCGATTAGCAGGGGCGAGTTTGCGTAACTGGTCCCTACTCACAGGTATTCTTGCTGACTAGCCTCAAGCAGTTCCCCTTCGTACTGTCGATGAACCGAGTGAGGTCCGGGTTTGGATTCGGCAACGTATTTCGCAATATCTAGCGCATCCCACGTCTTTTCCTTCTTCCGCCGGCGCCTCTTGTGTTGCTCATCCTTGGCTAACTGAGCTCGAACGACATGGTAGAAGTCGGAATAGGACTTTGCGCGGCGCAAGACGTCGGCGTCCGGTGGAGTGTTTCGGTCTTCGATCTCTTCAAAGATTTCGTCAAGAGCTTCCGGTGCATTGGAAGCTTGAGGTATACCCTTTTGGTAACATGAACTGTCAGCATGTCGTCGCGGTGGTGGTGATCATGTTGGCGGTGGTGGGGTTTTGGGAGCTGACATTGGACTGTTGCAACAGCGACTCTTTGCGACGATGGCCTGGACCCTGAGCAGCCGTGGTAGCTTTCTTAGCCACCTCTGGCACGAAGCTGTACCAAGAATCGTCGTACATCGTGGGCTCGCCTCAAGTTGTGGAGGGGCTTTCCGGGACTGGGGTTGGGAGTGACGGGAAGCTCTGGCGTGGAAGGGTGCCCCGATATGGCGCCGGGTCGGTGGTTCCCACCACCGCTCCAAACGGGACAGCTCAGCTCCCTTGGGCGTAAACTGGGCGGAAAATCATTGGCCCCAAGTGCGAACGGTTGGAGCTCAGAGGTACAAAGTGGGGCTCTCATGCTCACCCGCAGCGGGGCGCACGGTCCCTGCACTGGCAAGGGTCCGGGAAAGTCTACTGCGCAGATTAAGCTAAGTCTTGGGCGAATCGAAGTTTTAGTTTTCGTTGATGACCTCACGACCTGTAAGCGACTACACCTCAACTCACTTCACTTCCTCACCTGGGAGTCCTTCTTTCTCATGTCACTGGAATCCTTTACTTAATGCTCTCATCATCTCAAACATAATTCCATCCGCACCATTCTGTCCAATCAAATCTCTCGAGCCCGAAAATGAAGGCTTACAGGGCAGCTGCACGCAATGCAGGCACTTCTCTTACAGCCCAGAGATGCGCTGCCGTAGCTCGTCGCTATGCCAGCTCCGGACCTCGTCGGGCTGGTGACAGGTCGGGCATGGGCAAGGGAAAGGCATTGCTCTGACTGCAGGAACTGCTGGTGCTCTGTACTACGCCGACGACTACTTCAACGGACCCCTGAAGCAATATTTTGGCTCCGAGGTTGAAAAGGAATCACCCGACGCGCGCAAGCCAAAGTACCAAAAGGCCGAGATCAAGTTTGAGGAGGCAAGGAAGGCCGCCCAGTCAAAGGAGGAAAACCGCGACCTCATCAGCTCGCAGCATCTCCAGGTCAAGCAGAGCTGGGAGAACCCGGGCGTATATGCCTGGGGAAGCAACGTTGGCAAAGTGATTGACCCGCAGTCCAAGGAGACTCTCGTCAAGCTGCCGAGACGGATCAACTATTTCGACGGCCAGCTGCTGAGAGATATCAAACTGTGTCAAGACTTTGGCGCTGCTGTCACGGAGAAGGGCGATCTCGTGCAATGGGGCCTGGGCTTCTCGAATACTGACCCTTCGCCCGTTGAGACGCTCAAGGGTAAAGACATTTCCAAGATTTCCATCTCCAACGACCGCATCATCGCACTCACCTCCAGCGGATCAGTTTACTCGGTCCCGGCATCAAAGACCGGCCTCACAGCGGGAAAACAGCTACAACAGCCCCAGCAATCATCATCATCTTGGATCCCCTTTTGGAGCTCGCCGGAATCTCAGTCCGTCAAGGCTAGAGACCTGACCCCCAAGAACCTCGCCTGGGGTGAGAAAGTCACAGACATCAGCAGCGGCCTCCAGCACAGCCTTCTGCTCACCTCCAAGGGCCGCGTCTTCTCCGCAGCCTCCAGCACGGCCGAGTACCCCTCCAAGGGCCAGATGGGCATCCCCGGCCTGAGCTGGACATCCCGCCCGGCCGGCCCCTTTGACCAGCCCCAGGAGATCACCGGCCTCTCGGGCTTCTCCATCGCCAAGATCGCCGCCGGCGACTTCCACTCCGCCGCTCTCGACAAGGACGGCAAGCTCTTCACCTTTGGCGACAACACGTACGGCCAGCTCGGCCTGCCGGCGGACCAGGGCTACCAGAGAGTCGATGTCCCCTCCCTCCTCCCCACCGCCAAACTCTACGTCAACACGGGCCTCGTCCCCAAAATCACGTCAATCTCCGCCGGCGGCAACAACACCTTCTTCACCGTGGACGCCACCGAAGCCGTCAACGAGAACCCCTTCGCACCAGCAGCCTCCGTCACCGGCGACATTGCGCCCGCCCGCCGCATGCCGCGCGTCACGGCAGACTTCTGGGCCTGCGGCCAAGGCGTCTACGGATCCCTAGGCACCGG